AGGAGGCTGCAATGCTTGGTAAGAAATGTATGCATTATCCTGCCCATGTAATTGTAACCCCTCTGTACAGTATGTTCACAAATAAAATAAAATAAATTAAAAAAAAGAATTTTGGAAGGGGTGACATTGTCCAAAAATTAAATATACTCATTACCTGACTTATGAAACTGTAACCCTTCTGTAATCACCTTTATAATAATAATAAAAAAAACTGTGAAAGGTATTCATAAAAATCTCAATGTGAAAGGACTCACCAACAATTTGATGGATATGAGTTTTCCATTCTCAAATGTGGTATTCATGAGAGTTACCTGGAAGATTTAGTGAAAGGTAAATATTTGGGCCCATCTCTGAAATTTCTGCTTAAGCTGGTGTAGGATGGGACCTAAGGTTTTCCATTTTTAAAGAAATGCCCAGTTAAATCAAGTCTAGGGGCACAAACCTGTAATGCTTAGGATGATGAGGCAGGAGGATTTTGAGTTCTAAGGTAGCCTGGGATATAATAGCAAGGACTTATCTAAAAAAAAAAAAACCTCCAGGTGAAAAAGAACTCCAAATAAGTTTTGCTTTTGTTCAGAGATCTTTAAGAAAAAAAGTAAAAAATACAATTTACAGGAACTGTTTAATGGAAAAAAAATTTTTCTAAGTCAGGTGCCAATGGCTCACACCTGTAATCCTTGCTATTCAGAGGGCTGAGATCTGAGGATTGCAATTCAAAGCCAGCCTAGACAGTGAAAGTCCTTGAGACTCTTATCTCCAGTTTACCACCAAAAAGCTAAAATAGAGCTGTGGATCAACTGGTAGACAACTATCTCCAGCACAAAAGTTCAGGGACAATATCCTGGCCCTGAGTTGAAGCTCAGGAACTATAATGAAAAATGGTATATGGACACTGGGTCTAACTGGCACCATCTTGGCATCTTGGTGGATGATGGGGATTTTCTGAAAACTCTTAGAGGTGAAACCCACTTCCCCACTCATGCTCTCAGATGATAGGCTCCTGAATGCTTAGAAGCAGATGAGGTGGGGACTTGGACCTTCCAGAGCTGTGCCTTGAACTCATGAGACTCTGAACTCTCAAACTGGCTGTGGACCTGCCCCCTAACCATGACCCTACTTAGGCCCCTTCACTCTGGCAGCCATTGTGCCATGCTTCCTGTCTCTTGACTTTTCTCTAGTCACCATTGTGTCCTTCTTCAACTCTTCATTAGAGTTGATCTGGTTTGTTGAGATTGCTCTTTATTCTACAACCCTCATGGCTCAGCTTCCTAGCAGTATCAACTGCATTTGAGGGCTGCAAGGTTTTTGGTTTGTTTGTTTGACATCAGTCTGCTCACAGTCCCTGGATTTCTAATAAAGACTCCCGATCCAACTTCTTAAAGTGTGGCTCTTCTGTATCTCACTGATCAAATTCCAGTGTAACATTTGGAGGCCCCTAAACTACACTTGGACATGGTAAATTAAATAGGAAAAGTAGGATATTCTTAGGAGAGGATCACAAAGTCTCAATAGCTATGTGCATATGATCACATAAAATGTTTACTGAATCGAATCCCAAGAAATGGAAATGAGAGGTTTTCTATTTTACATTTTGTGTTCCTTTCCCTTCTCCCCCTTTTGTTGATGTTTTTGATGTCTGTACTTTTTGTCTTGTATGTAAGTTTATCTGTTTTGAGGATGGAAGGGGGAAGCACACAAACGGTGGGACAAAGGGTGATAGTCACTAGACACTATGTTGAAAATGAACTATACAACTTGTGGGGGAGGGAACCAGGAGGGGAAAAAAAAACTGGGAGAAAAGGATGGAAGAGGTGACACTGAAAAAGAAATGCACTCTTTGTCTGACTTATGTAACTATAACTCCTCTGTACATCACCTTTAAAATAAAAAAGATGTTCTAGTGTTCACAAGGGAAGGACTAATAGCAGATATTCAGGTATAGATCAGCCATAGGAAAAACACCAGAGCAATAAAGGAAATTGTGTGTACCACATTATATGAAGTGAGAAAATGGTATTCAGTAAACACTGACTTGTTTAAAAAAATCTATCAAGAAAAAAAAAGGTAAATGACTGAAACCAAACTAAAAAAGGGACCCATACACACAGATGTCACACGCATTATTAGGGTAAGGGACTATCAGAAGCATTTAATGCTACCTCATATATATATATAACATCATCAATGAAATAGACAAATGTCTTAAAAGGTGGAAATATGCTGAATAAGACAAACCTTAATATTCCCATATAAATTTTAAAAGTGAAGTAATAATTTTAAATGTTCTCATAAGAAAATACCATTCTTATCAGTTTTAAAAAATTTATTAAAAAATAAAAGAAAGTAATTTGCAATTCATCAATAAAGCCAGAATCACTCTAATACCAAAACTAGACAAAACTACCAGAAGAAAACTTCAAATCAACATCCCTCACAGATGATGATAAAATGTTGGGAAAAATAGTATCAATAAAAATAATACATCAAATAAATCAAATAATAAAAGAGAAATTCCAGAAATAACCAGTTAATTAATTGCTCCTTGCCTCATTAATCATACATAAATTAAAACCAATATTTCAAAGATGTTAACAGATATGAATACCACAGAAATAATTTGTTTTCTAAGAAAAATAACATTTAAAATCTTACAGGTAAAACTAAGACCGAATAAATTAGGATCAACTTTATTGCAATCATATGTAGTAAAATAACAGTAAGACTTCAGTGCAGATTAAAAGCAATCTATCACAAGTATGAAAAAATTTGATGATGTGCTACAGTTAAAATTTTACAAAGTATTCATGTTTAGGAAATGTTAGCTATGGTATTCAGTAAACACAGAGTTCAATAGAGCAGTGTAATAACAATGTGCCTGATAGGGTATAGGAAAATTTAAGACAGCAGAATGATGGCTTTTCAGAAAAATTACCCCATTTGAATATAAACTTCATTTACCAAAAACATAATTTTTAAATAATTTAATAAGAATAACATGATAATAGTATAACATCTCTACTTCTTACATTAAGACAAAATAGAAGGTAAGGGAGCAACTTTCAAATTCATTGACAAGTCTCCAGATTTCTTCAACCTGCAAGGTGACAATTCAATGTGTCAAGTAAAAGTATCTTTCTAAACTATTTTTTGTAAGGTTATTTACTACCATGTAGATGTGTGAATTCTGACATGTAAAGGTCTTTAGTTTTAGGAAATTAAAATATTAAATAGCAGCCTTCTTCAAAAGCAATTTGTATTATATCACTGTCAATAGAGCTACTTTCCAGACTCCAGTTTTCCCCAAGTGATGATGCATGTCTCCTAAGACTGTGATACAATCCAGAGAATTCAGACATCTTTTACTTTAAAGCAATAATTGTCAACTTTCTACTGTAATACTGTAGGTGACTGAGAGTCTAAATCAGGAATTAAATTCTAGTGAATTTTCACATAAGTTTTGGAACACTAAAATCTTTATTACCTTACCAGAGATATTAACTTTTCAAACATCAAGACATTTACTAAGAATTCTATCAGATCAGATGAGAAAACAGGAAATTTTTACACCCTTGATTGTAGATCTACTTTTGTTAAAATTCTCTCTGTCCTTAATTTCAATGAGGCTCATGGTTGGGTTCCTGCCAGATCAAGTGCCAGCAGAATTCTTCAATTAAGCAAAAATCACTTAAGAACTATTCATGCTCTAACTGCTTTAAGGTAACTTCCAAGAAATTACCTTCTTAAAATTAAAACAAATGCAAGGCAATTCTACCAAATAGTTTTCTAAGTTGTGAAATGGATTTCTAGAGTCAGAACTCAGCAGCAGTGCTAAAGGCACTTTTCTTCTATAAAAAAAAAGTTTCTCATACAATAGGTTTCATTACAGGGATGTATTGACTGAAACTAGTTTCACTGCCACTAATGTTCTGCTTAATTTTAAAGATAACATAATATTGAATAGAATAATGTATTCTATTAGTAGCATTTTATTGAAGGAGTAAACTGATTTATTGTGTTTATTTGTTCAAATAAGAACCCTGATCACTTGCCATAAATCTTCTTGAGTCTAAACAGAAGGCTAAGATGGAACCTGATAAAAATAAAAAGTTATCATAAAACTTAATGAAAAGTCCAATTTGAAAATTGAACAGTGAACTTCCCAGCTTCATGCTTTGCTTAGGGTGTGAAGTTTTTGCAATGAAGATGAAAAAGCTAGTCTAGCTTACTTAAAATGGCTATTTTGAGTCTTCATTTGGGAAAAACTATAAAAATAATTAAAATCTGTTAAGGAAGTATGCCCAGTTAATTCTTGGGCAATTCACTCTAATACTATTACTAGTGTACTTTAAGGTAACTTTTTTAATTTAAAAAACCTTCTAAAGTTTAAGTTTATTCTTTGAGGATGAAAGGCAGAACTTAACACATGTTCACAGACTGAAATTCTATTCTTTGGAGCTTTAGCTTTTATATACATTAGCTTACTGCTGATTTGGCTTTCCATTTCTATAATGTTATATAACCAGATTCTTAATCTTTTCAAGTTATATTATATATATAGTGCATTTGGTATTCATGTATGTGGTGTTTGAATTAATAGTTTGTTCCTTTTTTCATTTATAAAGACCATTTGGCTTATTTCCAGTTTTAAATGATTATGACTTAAACCACTATAAACAGTTTTTCATGTGAATGTAAATTTTTCATTTTACATGGAATTAGTCCATTGAAAATTGTACAATCAAAGTGGTAAGAAAATGGATGGTCTAAAATATATTCCAGGAATAATCGACTAGATTTTTGTGATAGATTATATTTGCAATGGAAGAAATCAATAATATTATAAAATCTTTTCCTGAAAAACGGACAGAATGGACTTGCTAAACCTGAGCCAGGTGAGATAAGCACAGGTTTTGGAGGGATGGTATTTTCACTATAAAAAAATTCAATCTTAGACATGCTAAGTTTGATAGTGTAAAAATCAAAATTGCACTTTTTGTTGTACCACTTATATTAATAGACAATTTTGTAGAATTTTAAGGGAAAGGAATATAACGAGAATATAATAAGAATCCAGTTGTCATATGTAAAAATTTACAAGTGGACTAAGCTTCCTTTATTTCATAAAGGAATATTTGTGGGGTGTAAATAATTCAGGTAAATATTATATTTGTTTGACAGCTGAAAGTAGCAAAAAACAAAGCAATTCTACTTTCTTGAGAGTATGAGCTAAGTTTCATGATTAGGAAATTTGTCTATGTTGAAATTTTCATTTTTGTTCCTGTCAATTATTACTATATATACTTTTATTCTTATGTCAAAACCCTTAGGTTTTCTTTAGTCCCTTGAATCTTAGTGTGTTTAATCTCTAATGGCAGAATCATTTTAATTACATCCAAAGGCTAAGCATAGTATTTTAGCTTTGATACTGACTTCACAATCAGAAAGGATTTCTAAGAGCTCTTACTCTTCCACAGGCTTATATGGCTTATTTCTACCACCTTCCTTTCAGTGGATAGGAAAAGAAGGCAATGGAGACAAAAACAGGTTGGTAAGTCCCTATGTGATTTAACGTAACCACAGATCTTGTTTAAGTGACCAAATTTTGTCACCTCAATGAATATATTATAAGAGAAACAAAAAAGTGCCAACTCTGAAGTATCTTAAAATACACTGGGTGATATGCAAATATATTAACTGAAATATGGTAGGGTCACGGGAGATCTGAAATAGTGTAATTCCTTAGAAAGCCCAAATCAAAAGTTCAGCAAAATAAAGCATTAGGAAGCATGTACTTGAAACTGGTGAAGTGAGCTTAAGGGGTAAGATGTAGATAAATGAAGAAGTGAAGAGAGAGAAAATGCAGACAAGAATCCAAAGTATATCCTAACATATTAAGATGAGTGGGTGAAAGGGTATGTAGGGGAGGGATGAGTGAGAATATTGAAAGGGGTGACCCCATTGATCAAGATACACTGCATTCATAAACTGCTTTGTTAAGTGGTAACTCCTTTGTACCACTACTTAGACAATAAAAAAGAAAAATAGAAAAAGATCCACAAAATATCAATTCCTCTTAAGATTATCACTAAGCTTTTAAAATAGGCAAATTTATGTTTATACCTAGCAATCTGTATGTTTTGTCAGATTATATACTTTTCTACTCACCAAGTATACTTTCCACAAAATGATTTTTTGCTCAGATGTACCATATCCTAATCATTTCCTTATTTTTTCAGTAACAACTTATATTTTAGCTGCCTTACTCATTATGACTATAAGTTTCTAAATGAGTACTCTCAGATAATTATGAACAATGTAAAAGAAGAGACACTGATGAAAGTGAACTATACTATAAAATGGGTGGAGACAGGAGGGAGGGATTGGGAGAGAATGAGGGAAGGGAAGACACTGTATGAAAGGAAATGTATTCATTACCTGATTCATGTAATTGTAATCCTTCTGTACATCACCTTTATAGTAACAATAAAGTAAATAATACTGAAAATTGTTAAAAAGAAAGTTTCTTCTGAGGATCAAAATGAATCCTGGTTGAGAACTGCCTGATATAAGAGGAAAAAAGTAGACAAAAGACAAAAGGAGAATGACAATCAAGCTTTCTATAGCTATCCCATTCCCTCTGTCCCCTCCTCCTGCTTCCCTCTATAATCCTAATGAAATTACTTAAAAGCCTGAAAGGACAAACTATTAGTTATAGCTCATTGGTCAGAACTATAACCTAGTGCCACTTCATCCACAAAAATAATGTAGGTTAAGCCGGGCACTGACGACGGCTCATGCCTGTAATCCTAGCTACTCAGGAGGCTGAGATCTGAGGATCACAGTTCAAAGCCAGCCTGGGCAGGAAAGTCCATGACAGTCTTATCTCCAATAAACCACTAGAAAACTAAAAGTGGCACTGTGGCTCAAGTGGTAGAGTGCTATAGCCTTGAACTGAAGAGCTCAGGGACAGCGCCCATGCCCAGAGTTCAAGCCCCATGACCAACAACAAAAACAAAAATAATAATAATGTAGGTTATATAGCTAGTTTGCATATGTTACTTTTAATAAGACTGGTGTCAATTAAGAAGAAAAATGGGATAACAGGTAAATGAATTCTAAGTAAGCAAATACATTCTCTACCAGAGAAAATATTTCAGAACTTAGTTTTCAAGACAACTTGGTTTTGTCTTTTTAAACAGACTTTTTTTTTAATTTTTATTTTTTTGGTCGTGGGCCTGAACTCTAGGCCTGGGCCTTGTCCCTCAGTTCTTCAGCTCAAGGCTAGGGCTCTACCACTTGAGCCACAGCACCACTTCCGTTTTTTTTCTGTTTATGTGGTACTGAGAAATCGAACCCAGGGCCTCATGCATGCAAGGCAAGCACTCTACCAATGAGCCACTTTCCAGCCCCTAACCAGACATTCTTAAGTATATCCTTATGAAGGTTTTAAAAAAAGAAATTTAACCATCATTTGTGTCTTATAAAGGACTGTTCAAGAAGCTACTTTGTAGAGGTTGTCTGTTCCCTTGCGAATTAGTGTTACTTTCCTGTTCTTTATATGTTCATTCTTCTTCTCTGAGAGTCCAATTACAAAAAATATTAAAAGCTTTTGATATTACACCAAAGATGATTAAAGCTCTGTTCATTTATTTTTTTTCCAATCTTGGGTCTCTGGGGACATGCCCTTGAAGGGGACTGTGGAAACATTAATTATCACAGGTGTTTTGTTATAGTGTAGCTAATACAGGTGTCAACTGTACAATCACCTTATATCTTATATTATATAATCACGTATCTTTTATGCCAGTAAATAATAGCAGTTTTCTGTCCTTGTTGTTCAAGACTATAATTTGTCCTTTCTTTAGGACTAAATGACATTTGAGATGCAACTTAATACACAGAAGTAGAAAGGAGAGTTTAATATAGGAAGAAAATTGGTGTTATTTAAAAAAAAAATCCCTATAGTGGGAGAACAAAGGAGGGGGAACAATGCTCAACAAGAAATGTACTCATTACCTTACTTATGTAATGGTAACCCCTCTGTACAGCATCTTTACAATAAAATAAAAATAAATGAATATTTGGAAGAGATAT